CATTCAAATCACCAGTGATATCAACACATCTTTTTTTTTTTTTTAAAGTTTTTTTATTGTGATTTGGGTGCACGTTTACAGAGCAAATTCATTTTCGATACAGCAGTTCATTCACATTTTGTCTCATGACATTGACTGCAATTCCCCACAATGTAACAGCTCTCTCCCCATTTCCTCTCATAGTTACCTCTTCCCTCCCATGCACTCTTCTCTCTCCCCCCCCATCTCCCTGTGCATACACTGCCTTTCTGTTCTCCCATGAATGGTTGCTCCAAGGATTGTATCTACCTGATGTAACTGTTCACTCCATATGCCTGTCTATTGTTTGGCTGGAAGCCACAGGAGTTAGTTCAATTCCAGACCTGAAGGGTGGCTAGGAGCCACAGTCTCAGGGTTCTCACCAGACTCTATCAGAACAACAAACCCGGTCTTTTTTTTTTTTTTTTTTAAATGGATAATCAACACATCTTGATGACTTGTTTGATCAATTTTGGACTGTAGAAGTTGGTAAAAGTCTTCAGTTTCCTCATCTTTGGCTTTGGTGGTTGGTGCATAAATTTGAATAATAGTAATATTAACTGATCTTCCTTGAAGGCAGATGGATATTATTCTATCACTGACAGCGTTGTACTTCAGGATAGATCTTGAAACATCTTTTGCAATGATGAATGCCACACCATTCCTCTACAATTTATCATTCCTGGCATAGTAGATCATATGGTTGCTGATTCAAAATGGCCAAAACCAGTCCATTTCAGCTCACTAATGTCTACGATATCGATCTGTATGTGTTCCATTTCATTTTTGACAACTTCTAATTTTCCTAGATTCATACTTTGTACCTTCCATGTTCCAATTATTAATGGATGTTTGTAGCTGTTTCTTCTCATTTTGAGTCATGCCATAGTAGGAAATGGAGGTCCCCAAAGCTTTACTCCATCCACATCATTAAAGTCAGCTCTACTCTGAGGAGGCAGCTCTTCCCCAGTTGTATTTTGAGTGCCTTCCAACCTGAGGGGCTCATCTTCTGGCACTGTATTGCACAATGTTTCAGGGCTCTTCATAAAGTTTTCCAGTAATATATCAGACAGTGTTTCATTGCTATTGATAAGGTTTTCACTGGCTAGTTCTTTGAGAAGTGGATGGCCCCTTCCTTGTTCTGAGTTTGTCTTAGTCCGGAAGCTCCTCTGAAACCTGTCCACCATGGATGACCCTGCAGGTATGTGAAATACCAGAGGCATAGCCTCTAGCCTCACAGTAACATGAAAGCCACCATAGTACAACAAACTGAGAGACAAGTGGTGGTCTGTGATGATTATAGCCTAGAAAACCCTATGAGGAAGCTCTATTCTATTCTATTCTGTCCTATGGGGTCAGTATGAGTTGGAATGGATTTGACAGCATATAACAACAACAAATCATACAAATGCTAAAAGTAGAGACAGAATTTCTCAAGTATAGCTTTGCTCCATGTAGGGTACATTATATTGAATTCTTTCAATTTTACAATTGCTAGAGTGACTATACATCCCAAAACAAACAAAAAACCATACTTGTACAGCCATTTTATTTTGAATTCAGTAGGTGGGGTGGCTAGTCAGCTTAGTCATTACTAATGCTATCTTTTAAACCGCTTATGAGATCTCATTAGAAATTGATATATGATTAACAGTATTTAGGATCAGGGAGGAAGATTAAGAATGGGTGGAATGACTCACAGAAGACATTTTGGAAGATGACTCCTAAAAATATTAGTGATGAGTTCATTCTCTCTGTCATTCACATATTTGTTCAACAAATGACCCAGGCACTGTGTCACACATTGTAGAAACAATGGTGAGCAAACCAAATGTGGTCCTTGCTCACCTGAACTTAAAATATGGTGGGTAGGCAGAGAAGAAGAATGCATCTGTGGGCCAGAGCCCTGGATGAGCCCAGGAGCTTTGGTGGCATAGTGCCTAAGGCATTTGACTATGAACCAGAAGGCTGGTGTTTCAAACTCACCAGCCACTCCTTGGAAGGAAGACTGGGTGATCTACTTCTGTAGAGATACCTCTTCAAAAACTCAAGGAGGAGTCTCCATTCTGGAGAGTGTCAGAAGCATGGGTTTAGGAGATTAATAGCTCTCACTGTAGCCAGGACAGAGGCTATTGCACCTACAGAAAGAACTATAGAGCCCTCCCTGACTCAGGGACTTCTCCCACTTCTGCCTCCATCTTCCTTTCCTTGCTCCCTTCTTTGCCCTGAGACTTCCTGCCAAGGGTCTTTCCCTCTATCTTGTCTCTTTGAATTGATAACACTTGGCCTGTCTCTGTGACGTCTAATTCAGTGCTACCATAAGGTATTCTTCTCAGATTGCTTTTGGCATTGCAGCTTTGGGGCAGGAAACATCTTCTCTGTCCATGAGCCTTTCCAGGCACCAGGTTACAGCACTCTCAGTGTGGTTCCAGCCTCAAGCCCTGTTTGTGTTTGAAGAGAACTTGGCTTCTATAGGTAATCTCTGGTCACTTCCGCATACCTGGAGAGTGTGCTCATAATCTCACATCCTAAGGAGATTTTCTCTAGAACACAGGTATCTTAGTAACTTAGTGCTATTGTTGTTGTGTGCCATTGAGTCTATTCTGACCACAGTGTGACCCCATGTGGCACAGTAGAACTGCCTCATAGGGTCTTGGCTGTTATCTTTACAGAAGCAGAACTCCTGGGTGGGTTTGAGATGCCAACCTTTGGGTTCACAGCCAAGCACTTAACCAATGTGTCACCAGTGCTCCTTCCTTACCTAGTGCAGTAGCAATAGAAATACCACAAGTGGGTAGCTTGAAACAACAGAAATTTATTTTCTAACCAGAAGCACATTCAAGGTCCACATTTCTAGCAACATTCTTAATGACAATGGAAACTTTCCTTACATCTTGCAATTTTTTCTAAGCCTTGGTCAGAATTGCCCTTAATGTCTATAATTCTACCAACTGTCTCTTCAAGGCCATCTAGGACCTTATTATCAAGCAAATAAAAATTCCTCCAGCCTCTATCCATTACCTAATTCCAAAGTCCTTTTCACATTTTAGTTGTTTATTAGCGAGCACCCTCATTCCCTGATACAATATTCTGGTCTTTTTATAACTTAGAAGTGATTAGGTTTAGGATCTACCCTACAGGGATATGACTCATTAATATAATAAAAGAAAATCACTAATTCCAAACAGGATTATATTTACAGGTACAGTGGTTAGAATTTTAACACATGTTTTTAGGGGGACACCGTTCAATCCAGAGCAAGTAAAATGAACACTAACACTGACTGTGCCTTCATCACATGATCAAGGAAGGGGATGAATATTCATGTGAGGAGATAAAGGAATGAGTGGGAGAACTGGATTGAAAAGATTCACTCATGGATGCTGTCTACAGTTTTGCAAAAGATGACTAAATTCCTGCTAGAGCTGCCACAGGTGCCTCTGCTAAGTCCCTGCAGTGGTTTTGGCCTAAGAAACCTGAATGTTTCCTCTTGCCTCCTCTGCACAAGCAGAGGACTCTGAGGTTCAATGAACAGGCAACTCCACAAAGATCCAGTGAATAGACAGCTCTTCTCTAGACTCACTTCAAACTACCATCAGCCCAGTATCTGCGAACTGGCTGATAATTGAGCCCTCAAACCAGAAAACTCAAACTCACTGGCATTTAGTCAATTTTGACTCATAGCAACCCCCACTAGGTTTCCAAGGCTGTAAATCTTTATGAAAGCAGACTGCCTCATTTTTCTTCTGCAGAGTGGCTGGTGGGTTCAAACCACTGACCTCTTGGTTAGCAGCCAAACGCCTTATCCACCATACTACCAGAGATCCTTAATTGAGCTCTATTGTTCTCAAAATGGATTAAAGGCTACATTTTATGTTTCCATCATTATTTCTCCAATGTGGCTTCTATGGCAGGGTTTTTTTTTTTTTTAAAAAAAAAAACAAAAAAACTTACTACCATCAAGTTGATTCCAACTCACAGGTTTAAAAGAGTGAAATTTCAGGTTTATTGCAAATATTCCTTAGTCTTTACAGAAAAGTCACTTTCATGTCTCAAAGCATAAATATGTGAGGCAGATCTGAGCACTGAAGGAGAATGAAAAATAATACATGGAGTTAGGGCCATCTGGCTCTGAGAACTCTGTCCATTCCATTTTTTCTCTCCATTCTCTTCAAACTAAGATAAAACCAGTCGCCATCAAGTCAATTCTGACCCATGGCAATCCCATGTGTGTCAGAGTAGAACTGTACTTCATAGGGTTTTCATGGCTGTGACTCTTCAGAAGCAGATAGCCAGGCCTTTCTTCTGAAGTGCCTCTGGGTGGGTTTGAACCAAAAACGTTTTGGTCAGTAGCTGAGGGTTTAACCGTATACACCGCCCAGGGGCTCCACACACTGAAACAACTCACCAGTATTTTTGCAGGGCTTTGTCTGTGGAGCTCCACCACAGGCACGTCCCTCTTCCTGACCAAATGAGGAATGGTAGAGTTCCGCAAAAAGGCGCTAAGCTCAGGGGTGTCCTCTGGGGAGGCTGCAGGCTACAAACAGGAAAAAAAAAAAAAGGAGGTATCACACACAATTACATTGACAGTTGTTGTCTTTCATTGGCCTTGAACTGCAGGCAATTTTTATTCCCTCTACTGAATACGATTCACATGAGAATTAAGGCATGTTCTGATTTACTAGCAGCATGTCTCAGCAAAATGAACTGCACCAACATGGAACAAGTTTCTTACTCTCCAGTTATAGGAATTTATGCAGCCGGGAGAATGCATTCCTGGTAAGCTCATCTTCTAACGGTAAGACTTTAAGCAGAAGTAATGCTGTTTCAGGCATGAATCATTGTTCTCAAGTTACTTCCCTCTCATTATATATATATTAAAAACAAAACCAAGCAAACAAATGAACAAAAAAGAACAGTTGTCTTTGAGTCAACTCTGACTCATGGTGACCCATGCATGTCAGAGTAGAACTGTGCTCCATATGGATGCTTTTGGAAGTAGATTGTCAAGCTTTTCATCTGAGGTGTATCTGGGTTGATTTGACCCTCCAACCTTTTGGCTAGCAGCCAAGCATGTTAACTGTTTGCACCTGGGGATTCTTCATTACATATTCTTGTTGTTAGTTGTCAATGAGTTGATATCAAATGATGGCAATCTCGTGTGTCAGAGTAGAACTGGGCTCCATTGGGTTTTCGATGGCTGACTTTTCACCAGGCCTTTCTTCTGAGGCATCTCTAGGTGAACTCAAACTTCTACCCTTTTCATCAGCAGCTGAGTGTTTAGCTGTTTGCACCCAGGGAATCCTCATTATATATTCGGGTTAGTTAAACTGAGGAATATTATGAAGGGAAGATGAATTTTGAGGTGGTGTGTGTGTGTGTGTGTGTGTGTGTGTGTGTGAGAGAGAGAGAGAGAGAGAGAGAGAGAGAGAGAGAGAGAAAGAAAAGCTAACCATGGGGAAATGGCTGAAGGTGGCCAAGGAGCAGATGTTGGGAAGTCTTAGCTACACCATGTTCCTGTACTTGTAAGAAATTTTCCCTCAGGAGAACAATGTAATGAAAATGACTTTTCCAAAGCATGCTACAAGAACATTGTGCTGTAACAGAGCTTATTTTCGATCCTGAGTTTGTTTTGCAAGTGATTATATCTCAGGCTCTGTGTTGGGTATATCTGAAGGCTGAATAATATTTCGAGAGTTTCCAATACATCATACATAATAATCTGTTAACATTCATTAGTTCGATCAAAGCTACTAAGCATTTTGACAAGCTGACTACAGAGATACAATTTTCTCCTGCAGAGAAGAACATCTTCTTTGATACAATTTTTTTTTTTGTATTTGTAGGAACAGTAACAACATGTTTATTAGGAGTAAACTCCTACATTGCAGATGTAGGATTTATCACAAAAGGTGAAATGATGCTGTTCAGCGTGTCATAAGGACCTAGAAAAATCTGCTAGATAAACAGAAAGATGAAGTCCAGACTCATTAGCATGACACATATAGTTCTTTTTGGGCTGGACTTTGCCTGCCTCTCCAGCCTCATCTCTCACCAAGAGCTCCTCACATTCTGCTCCCTGGCATGAAGAACTACTCTCTATGGCTGAACTGCATGAGGCTGACTCCTGAGCCTCTGTTTGATGTTCATCATGCTTGCTCTATTCCCATCAGTGCTTATCAAGCTGGTCTGTGTTGCTCAGAAGGAACATGTAAAATGCAAAGTGTAGCATCAAGGAGATCTTCCCAGGAAACACCATAAAACAGGGAAAGAAAGACGATCCAGTAGAGAAAACTGTGATGGGGAAATCAGATGTAGGGGGCTATCCAGGAAAATGTGGTTCTATAGATGCTTAAGGAGAAGAATGGTTCAAAAATAATGGAGTGACTAGTAATGGTAAGGCCGCAGAGGAGGTAAGAAGGGTGAGGATTGGTGCTGGCACTGGATCTGTCAATTAAGAAATTATGGTAGCTCTTCCCAGAGGTGGAGGTAGAAATCAAACTGCAGTTGGTAAAGAGTGAATGGGTTTGAACAAAAGGATAATCATTTGAATAAGTATGAAATTAAATCCTTATTTCATTCTTATATTGAAGGAATTCCTAATGGCTCAGAGATGAGATAAAATCTCATACTTGAAATAATAAAGCACCAGATCAAATTAAAATAAAAAATGAATGTTCCTACCAGCATTCCATCACTTGTCTGTCAGTTTATCATACTGTGGTGGCTTGCGTGTTGCTGTGAGGCTGGAGGTGATACCACCAGTATTTCAAATACCTGCAGGGTCACCCATGATGGACAGGTTTCAAGAGAGCTTCCAGACTAAGACAGACTTGGCAGAAGGAACAGACCATTCACTTCTCAAAAATTGGACAGTGAAAACCTTATGAATAGCAGTGAAACACTGTCTGAGACATTACTGGAAAACTTGATGAAACATTGTCTAATATAGTGTTGGAAGATGAGCAACTCAGATCAGAAAGTACTCAGAATATGACTGGGGAAGAGCTGCCTCCTTAAAGTAGAGTTGACCTTAATGATGTAGATGGAGTAAAGCTTTTAGGACCTCCATTTGCTGATGTGGTATGACTTAAAATGAGAAGAAACAGCTGCAGATGTCCATTAATAATCAGAACATGGATTGTATGAAGTATGACTCTAGGAAAATTGGAAGTTGTCAAACATGAAATGGAACACACAAAGATCTATATCCTAGGCATTCGTGAGCTGAAATGGAACATTTTTGGCCATTTTGAATCAGGCAACCATATGATCTACTATGCTGGGAATGACAAACTGAAGAGGAATGGCATGGCATTCATTGTCACAAAGAATGTTTCAAGATCTATCCTGAAGTACAATGCTGTCAGTGATAGGACAATAACCATATGCCTAAAAGGAAGACCAGTCAGTACTATGATTATTCAAATTTATGCACCAACCACCAAAGCCAAAGATGAGGAAATTGAAGATTTTTACCAACTTCCACAGTCTGAAATTGACTGAACATACAGTCAGGAGGTGTTGATTATCACTGGTGATTGGAATGAAAAAGTTGGAAATGAAAAATCACTAGTAGTTGGAAAAAATGGCCTTGGTGATAGAAATGACACTAGAGATCGCATGACAGAATTTTGCAAGACCAATGACTTATTCATTGCCGATACCTTTTTTCAACATAAATGGTAGCTATGCATATGGACTGTACCAGATGAAATACACAGCAATCAGATCAACTACATCTGTGGAAAGAGATGATGGAGAAACTCAGTATCTTTAACCGAAACAAGGCCAGGAACTAACTGTGGAATAGACTATCAACTGCTCATACGCAAGTTCAAGATGAAGCTGAAGGCAATTAAAACAAGTCCACAAGAGTCAAAATATGACCTTGATTTATCCCACCCCAATTTAAAGACCATCTAAAGAATAGATGTGATGCACCGAACACCAATGACCAAAACCTTGATGAATTGTGGGATGATATCAAAAACATCATCCATGAAGAAAGCAAAAGATCATTAAAAAGACAGGAAAGGAAGAAAAAATTAAAATGACTGTCAGAAGAGACTTTGAAACTTGCTTTTGAATGGAGAGTAGCTAAAGCAAATGGAAGAAATGACAAGATAAAAGAATTGAACAGAAGATTCAAAGAGCAACTCAAGAAGACAAAGTCAATTATTATAATGAAATGTACAAAGACCTGGAGTTAGAAAACCAAAAAGGAACAACATGCTCAGCATTCTCAAGCTGAAAGAACTGAAGAGAAAATTCAAGCCTCAAGATGCAATATTGAAAGATTCAGGAAGCATCAAAAGAAGATGGAAGGAATACACAGAGTCACTGTACCAAAAAGAACTGGTCAATGTTCATCCATCTCAGGAGCTGGCATATGATCAAGAACCAATGGTATTGAAGGAAGAAGTTAAAGTTTCACTAAAGCAATTGGCAAAAAACAAGTCTCCAGGAATTGATGAGATATCCATTGAGATGTTTCAGCAAACATGCCACATCCAAGGCACTTACTCATCTATGCCAAAGAATTTGGAAGACAGCTACCTGGCCAACTGACTGAAAGAGATCCATATTTGTACCCTTCCCAAAGAAAGGTGATCCTACAGAATGTGGAAATTTTAGAACAATATCATTAATATCACACACAAGTAAAATCTTGCTTAAGGTAATTAAAAAATGGTTGCAGCAGTATATTGAGAGGGAACTTCCAGAGGTGCAAGCTGGACTCAGAAGAGGACATGGCATGAGGGATATCATTGGTGATGTCAGATGGATCTTGGCTGAAAGCAAAGAATAGCAGAAAGACGTTTACCTGTGTTTTATTGACTATGGAAAAGCATTAGACTGTGTGGATCATAACAAATTATGGGTAACATTGAGAAGAATGAAAATTCCAGAACACTCAATTGTGCTCATGAGGAAACTATACATAGACCAGGAAGGTGTCATTCAAACAGAACAAGGGGTTACTGCATGGCTTAAAACTAGAAAGGAAGTGTGTCAGAGTTGTATCCTTTCACCATACTTATTCAGTCTGTACACTAAGCTAATAATATGAGAAGATGTACTACCAGAAGAACATGGCATCAGGATTGGAAGAAAACTCAGTAACAACCTGCCATATGCAGATGACACAACTTTGCTTCCTGAAAGTGAAGATGACTTGAAGCACTTACTGATGAAGATTAAAGAATACAGTCTGCAGTATGGATTATACCTCAATGTAAAGAAAATGAAAATCCTCAGAACTGGACCAATAAGCAGCATCATGATAAATAGAGAAAAGATTGAAGTTGTTAAAGACTTCATATTGCTTGGTTCCACACTTAACACCAATGGAAGCAGCAGTCAAGACATCAGACGACTTATTGCAGTGGGCAAATCTTCTCCAAAGATCTGTTTAAAGTGCTGAAGAGCAAACATATCTCTTTGAAGGTGTACCATGGTGTTTTCAATTGCTTCATATGCACGTGAAAATGGACAATGAATAAGGAAGACCGAAGAAGAGTTGATGCTTTTGAG